GGCATCCTGAAAGGGGCCTAGGGCTTGCTTTCTGTACTTTGGATGGTGTAAATCTGACTCTCCCAAGAAATTGTTTTTCGTTTCCCCAGCCAACTGCGCCCTCCTCACCCACGTGCATTTCTCCTTCTTGTCATTTATCCACCCCTTCTTTTCTTTTCAAGTCCTTCTCAGAATCCTGACAGTTACATCCCTCCTTGGCTAAGACATTCGCTAGCAGGTGGGGCTTGCTTTCTCCTCCATGGACCACAGCTGCCCATGACCAGTACATCAATTCCCATATCTGTTGTCTTTCCAAGGCCTCTAGGTCAAGCTTGGCTAGTGCAGAGGGAGGAAAATACTTTCTGGTCACCTGCCTTCGGCTTTAAATGTTCTGGAATATTAAAAATAATCGGCACAGGCTTTTTCTACAGCCTGTTTTTGGACCCACTTGAGAATTTGGGTGGGGTTCGAAGAAACCAAATGTCTGGCCTATCCCAGGGGATATTAGTCACCCACATGATGTCTCAGGATATAAAAACACATTAGACAAGTTCATACATGGGAGTAAGTGTGAGACTGGCCACTCCTTGTTGAAACTTGAGGTTTTGAAATTCTGATCTACCTTCTCAAGAGTTTTTTTGTTTGCTTGTTCTAAGACTAAAAAGGCCAATGGAGAAGGATTCTGCGAACATTTTGAATGTAATTTCTTTACTAAGATGTAATGACGATTGAGAAAAAAGGAAGGGCAGTGCAAGAAAAAGGTAGGCATGACAAATGTAGGTGTAGACCACAGACATCATCTCTGAATTAACTTGTGCACCATCTGCAGCTGGACGGCTGGGTTGGACTCTGGTCTTTGTCAGGAGAGACAGGGAGAATTCTAGAGAAAGACGAGCTGGAACCAAAGGGGCCTTGGGGCTTTGGTATGTACAAAAGGAGTTGCATTAGTATAATCTCAAGTTCTGAAAAGTTGGGCCTCTTCACAGAGTAAATTACTGGACTTATTAGAGGCTATGAAGCAAATCAGTTGCCCCAAAGGCCCTGGAAAAGTTGACAGGCTCTTAGTCACCAAATGCCAGAAGACTCAAGCAAGAAAGTGCTTGAGTCCTGATGGGACTAGATTCAGCCAATTAAAAAAACATTCTGTATATAGAGACTGCTGAAATGTAAAAGAAAAGATCCCAAATAATTGTGCAGATTGGACAAGAAGACATTCTATAACAAAAAGTGGCTTTTATTTAAAAAAAAAAAGAAAAAAGAAAAAAAGCTTATATTCATTCTCCCAAGTCGGCATTGAGAGGTGATTCCGGCAGCTAATTCTCCCCTTCCTCTGGAGTTGCACCACCCATTGTGGAAGCCATTAGCCACACATAGCTACTGAGCCTTCCAAACTGATGTGTGTTGTGCGTATGATATACACACTGGATTTCAAAGACTTACCATGAAAAAAAGAACGTAAACTGTCTCATCAATAGTTTTTTCATGTGGATTTGTTAAATTAATAATATTTTAGAAATATTGGGTTAAAAATATGCTAAGATTAATTTCACCCCTTAACTTATTTTAGCATGGCTACCAGAAAATGTAAAAATAACTTATGTGGCTTACGTTATATTCTTATTGAACAGCGTTGCTTTAGAGTTCTTTGCTAATAATCACTCACTACCATAGTCATTCTTAAGAGGAATGCTTCTCATTTGTGAACATCTACACAAGCATGTGTAGTATGGACCTACAGCATGGCTAGAATGCCTGAAAGTCGATTTACCGAAGGTCAGGGTTATGCCGCTAGAGCAGAAACACAGAGGATCTTGCTGATGAAAGCAATGGATTTTAACCTTTCTGGAGCTGCTTTAATTATGACCCAGTTCCCCTCACCTGCAGGGTTACAGTAATAGTAGATATCTAATAGTAGCATTGGGTTCAATCATTTACAACACCCAGAACAATGTCCATAGTAGACATTTTATAAGCATTCACTATTACACTTTTCTCAGTGAAAATGAAACTCTATATATGGGTTTCCCTGACACTAATAGAATCCCCCATGAGTGTTTTTGGGCCAGTTTTTAAATGTAGGGAACGCTGGCCCCTGCTTTGCCTGTCTATAAGCTGTCAGGGCCTGCAATTGATTGGGTCTGGTACTTGAACCAATGCTGGAGTGTAGATGCTTTTTCTAGGGAGTAAGGTTTGGACACAGTCTGTGGTTCCCCATGCCACTCGCTGGGTCCTGGGATGGATCTTATCTCTGGGGCACCTACTGAAGCATTTGATGTAGTCTCCTTGTCTTACTTCCCTTGTGTCCTGTCTGGGATCCTTGTCCTTTTTTGCTCTGGACATCTTGGGTCATGGTGTTTGTCATGCTTGGGATCCCCCTGAAATGCACCCCCCACAACCACATGGCCCCTGCTCAATAAATGTGGCCACATCCAATGACAATTATTTTAAAATGATATAGAAATTTGTTTTTTAGCTAGCTACTAGCAACTAGGTACTGTGGATCTCAACCGTTCAGCTACGATTAACATCAGATCAGTGACTCTGAATGAGAGAGAAGCTTTGTAATGACCTGGGTGCATCTTCAAAGGACACATTCCTGGGACCCATTCTTAGAAATCCCGATGTCATGGGTCTGGGGTGCTGCCTTGGCATCTGTACTTTTAAAAAGATCCCAAAGGCTGGCTGTGGTGCCTCATATGTATAATTTCAGCACTTTGGGAGGCCAAGGTGGGAGGATCAATTGAGCCCAGGAGTTCAAGATCATCCTGAGCAACATGATGAAACCCTGTCTCTGCTAAAAATACAAAAAATTAGCTGAGTGTGGTAGTGCATCCCTCTAGTCCCAGCTACTCAGGAGGCTGAGGCAGGAGGATCACTTGAGCCTGGGAGGCAAAGGTTGCAGTGAACTGAGATAGCATCCCTGCATTCCAGCCTGGGTGACAGATGAGACCATGTCTCAACAACAACAAAAATCTCCCAATATGACCTGGGTGAATGCACTTGATTAAGAATTACAAGTGTGACAACAATGGGAATATATATTTCCTGTCATTTTGGGTGTTAAATAATTTTTAATGTGAAGATTAGATGGCTAATATTTTAGTTCAAGCTTCATAGCATACCCATTTGTAGATTTTATAAATTAGCATAGTCCCTGGCACATGGCAAGTATAACTAAAAGATTGCTGAATTGATGACTGTCTTAGTCCATTTGCACTGCTGTAACAAAATGCCTGAGACTGGGCAATTTATAAAGAACAGAAATTTATTTCTCACAGTCCTGGAGACTGGGAAGTCCAAGGTCAGAACAGAGGTGGATTCGGTGTCTGGTGAGGGCCTTCTTGCTGAGTCCTCACGTGGTAGAAGAGCAGAAGAGCAAAAAGTGGTCTACGCTAGTTCCCTTCAGCCCTTTATAAGGCATGAATCATTGAAGTGACATCATTTTCTAGGGTAAATACCCAGGGTTCATTGTCTCACCAAGAAGATTAATGACATGGGGACACACATACATATGGAGTGGGTTAAAGAGTGGAAAATTTAATAGGTAGAAGGAAGGAGAGAGGAGAGCAGTTCTCTTTCTCTCTTGCAAGAGGGAGATGTTCGAAAGGGAAAAGTGGCAAACGACAGCAGATTTTATAGGCAGGCTTGAGGAGGCAGTGTCTGATTTACGTAGGGCCCACAGATTGGTTCAACCAGGTGTGATGTTTATATATCGAGCAGGGAAGGCTGGTCATCCCTACCCTAATCTTATTATGGCAAATGGATTTTCCACTTGGCCAGTGCCATCTTCTCTGCTCCTTACCGTACACCATTTTGATGATGCCTAGTCCCAGGTAGCATTTTTTCCTATGGGCACAACTGCTGGCATTTGCCTGTGCAAGCTTCCAGCTTGCTTGTTTATGTCTGCAGCTCAATTTTACAGGCTGCTCTTTGTCAGAAAAGAAAATGATTTTGGGGCTGCTTTCCATTAAAAGGAAAACCTTACTGAAGACTTCCTTACCCTCACGATCTGCCTAAATAATTTCTTTTTAACTCCTGTATCATCATGACTTAATCACTTCCCAAGGAGGTCCCATCTCTTAACAACACCACATGGGGATTACATTTCCATGCAGGAGTTTTGAGGCACATTCACACTACAGCAATAATTTTGAATATTGAGTGCATATTTGTAGAGAAAATATCTTTGAAATGTATTTTATGAAGTTTTTTTCTAGATACCTTTTTAAAATTAATTTTTAATTTTTATAGATTTAGTGGGTATAATGGCAGATTTCTCACATGTACAAATTTCTTACATTTCTCCTGCCCTCTGCCTTTTGGAGTCTCCTGTGTCTATTATTCCACTCTGCATGTCCATGCATACCCATCGTGTAACTCCCACTTACCAGTGAAAACATGCAGTATTTTCCTTCTGTTTCTCAGTTACTTCACTTAGGATAGTGACCTCTAATCTTATGTATGTTGCTGCAAAGTACATGGTTTCTTTCTTTCTTATGGCTGAGTAGTATTCCATAGTATATATATACCACATTACAAAATTATTTTAAAGTTCCAGGATACATGTGCAGGTTTGTTACACAGGTAAATGTGTGCCATGGTGGCTTGCTGCATCTATCAACCCATCACCTAGGTATTAAGCCCCACATGCATTAGCTATCTATCCTGATGCTCTCTCTTCCTCAACCCCTGATAGGCCCCAGTGTATGTTTTTCCCCTCCCTGTGTCCATGTGTTCTCATTGTTCAGCTTCCATTTATAAGTCAGAACATATGTATATATCCCATTTTAAAGATTCAGTCCTCCATTGATGGATACTTAGATTAATTCCATATCTTTACTATTGTGAATAGTGCTGTGGTAAACATACAAGCACAGGATCTTTTTGATATAATGATTTTTCCCCCTTTGGGTATATACCCAGTATTGGGATTGCTGGATAGAATAATGGTTCTATTTTAGTTCTTTGAGAAGTCTCCATACTGTTTTTCTTTTTTCTTTTTTTTTTAATAATTATTATTTTTTTCTATGGAACACTTCACAAGTTTGCATGTCATCCTTGCTCAGGGGCCATGCTAATCTCTGTATTGAACCAATTTTAGTATATGTGCTGCCGAAGCGAGCACCGTACTGTTTTTCATAAAGGTTGTACTAATTTACATTCCCACAAAGAGAGTAAAAGTTCTTTTTTCTCTGCATCTTTACCAATATCTGTCATTTTTTCAACTTTTTAATGATAGCCATTCTGACTGGCGTAATATGATATCTCATTGTGGTTTTAATTTGCATTTCTCTGATGATTAGCGATGTTGAGCATTATTGCATGTTTGTTCGCTGCTTATATGCCTTCTTTTGAAAACTGTTATGTCTTCTGCCCACTTTTTAATGGTGCTATTTGCTTTATCTTGTTGAGTTGTTTGAGTTCCTTGTAGATTCTAAATATTAGCCCTTTGTTGGATGCATAGTTTGCAAATATCTTTTCCCATTTTGTAGGTCATCTGTTTATTCTGTTGATAGCTTCTTTTGCTGTGCAGAAGCTTTTTGGGTTAAGTCTCATTTGTCTCTTTTTGTTTTTGTTGTGTTTGCTTTTGAGGACTTAGTCATAAATTCTTTGTCTAGAGCCAATGTCCAGAAGACTTTTTCCTTAGCTTTTGTCTAGGAATTTTAGTTTTGGGTCTTAAATTCTTCTTGAGTTAATTTTTTTCTATGGTGAGAGGTATGGGTCCAGTTTCATTAATCTGTATATGGCAATCCAATTTTCCCAGCACCATTTATTGGATAGTGTCCTTTTACCAGTGTATATTTTTGTTGACTGTGTCGAAGATCAGTTGGTTATAGGTATGTGGCTTTATTTCTGGGTTCTCTATTCTGTTCCATGGATATACATGTCTATTTTTATACTAGTGCCATGCTGTTTTGGTTACCATAGCCTTGTAATGTAATTTAAAATCAGGTGATTTGATGCCTCTAGCTTTATTCTTTTTTCTTAGGATTGCTTAGGAGCTATTCGAGTTCTTTTTTGGTTCCATATGAATTTGAGGATTCTTTTTTCTAATTCTGTGAAAAATGATGTTGGTAATTCAGTAGGGTTGCATTGACTCTGTAGATTGCTTTGGGCAGTATGGTCTCTTTAACAATGATTTCAAGATATCTTTAGCTTTAAAAATGTATTAAGCATGGTAACTATAGTTAATAATAATGTATTTTTCAAAATTGATAAGAGAGTCAATTTTAAATGTTCCCACCATTAAAAAATGCTAAGCAGATTAGGTGATGGATATGCTAATTAGTTTGATTTACTCATTTCATAATGTATGCATATATCAAAACATTGCATTGTACCCCATGAATATGTATATTATTAATTAAAAGTAAAAATTTAAATATGTATTGAATGTTTCCATCAAATTTCATATGTCTTAAATAAATGAGAACTATGCCTCTGAAGAGTCTGGCAGGTGGCCGGAGGAGGCCGGCTTCAGAGTTGTCTTGGAGGAGGCCGGCTTCAGAGTTGCCTCCTCAAAGAAGACTTGGAAGGGGTAGTTCATTTGTTTTTGAACACAGAAAGGATGCAGCTGTAGGAGGGGCCTTTATCAACACCCATTCCCACTCTGCAGCAGTTAATTGCCACTTCCTGTCTAGAGAATGCAGCACAATAGACTGAGCCCATCTGCTGTTTGCATCCCCCACGACACCCCCAAGGGATAGTTTAAGGTGGTGGAGGTCTAACAAGCAAGACTGACAGCGAGTCTGCCAGTGAAAGACTGGTCCATGGGTCTCTGTTAGCTCCAGGAATGGTTTCCACAGGTCAGGCTGACCCTGTGTGGCTGCTCTACAAAGGACCACACCTGGGCCTGCAAATACAGCTGCTGGCATCTTTACCCGGCTCAGCTCCCTGACCTGGAGACCTCTAACCACAATATTTTTTGGTGGTTAAGTCCGATGTTTCTGTTATGGGAAAGGGTTCCCGATCCAGACCCCAATAGAGCGTTCTTGAATCTCATGCAAAAAAGAATTCAGGGCGAGTCAGCAGTGAAAAGTGAAAGCAAATTTATTAAGAAAGTAAAGGAATAAAAAGAATGGCTAGTCCATAGACAGAGCAGCCCTGAGGGCTACTGTTTGCCCATTTTTATGGTTATTTCTTAATGATATGCTAAACTAGGGGTGGATTATTCATGCCTCCCCCATTTAGACCACATAGGGTAACTTCCTGACGTTGCCATGGCATTTGTAAACTGTCACGGTGCTGGTGGGAGTGTAGTAGTGAGGACGCCCAGATGTCCCTCTCATCGCTGTTTTGGTTTTGGTGGGTTTTGGCCAGCGCCTTTACTGCAGCCTGTTTTATCAGCAATGTCTTTATGACCTGCATTTTGTGCTGACCTCCTATCTCATCCTGTGACTTAGAACGCCTTAGCGTCTGGCAATGCAGCCCAGTAGGTCTCAGCCTCGTCTTACCCAGCTCCTATTTTAGATAAAGTTGTTCTGGTTCACATGCCTCTGACATTTCCACAGACTGCTTTGTGTAGACTTATAAAGAAGAAACAGCCCACAAACCTATTTAAAAACAGTTGAACTGTTGTGAATTCTAAAAATGACTGAAAAATAACCTTTATGGGGTAGGAGCCCTTGTCCAAAGCAGTGCTTTCAAGGGCCCCATGGGAAATCCACACCCCCATGGTTAGCTAGTTGTGTCTCTTTACCGACGTTAAATGGCGATTTTAATTTGTTTTTAACTTAGCAAGAATTTGTTCGGTGATGTTTCACTTTCACCATGTCAGAGAAGGAAGTTGGGTCACGTACTCAAATTATCCTTCCTTTTCCCTCTTTCATAAAAGTCCTGTTGGCCCCTTCCCTTTCTCCCCTGATCAGTCATGTCCTTCCTCCCTCCTAAGCCTTCGGGAGTCTTTGTATCTGCAGAGAAAGGAGGAGTTCAAATTAGTTTGACAGGCCAGCAGAGGCAGAAAGAGAAACAGGGGTGGGCAGAGTTTCCACAACTGGCTTTGTGTGTGCCTCAGCTGCACCTTTCACCAGCAACTGCTGACCCATGCTTCACTGCCAATGACAGCGGGTCAGCACAAAATAATCCAGGACCTCAGGCTGCCCCGGGGGCTGCTGCTGCCTTTACTCACCTGAACGTTATTCTCTGCTGGGAGGGGAAAGTCTGCAAACATGGATGAAAACATCGTGTCTCAGATGCAGAATTTGAGAAGGAGCAAGAAAGGAAGTCATCACAGACACAGAAATACTGAGAACCTGAATGAACTTACGTAGTGGACATTGGAGTATTCTTTCTCTTGGTGCTGGCATTCCCAGTGTTAGAAGGGACCCTATTCAGTCAATATGTATTTATCAGGTACCAGCTGTGTGTCTGGCTTCTGTGCTTGCTGCTGAGGTGCTATAAGTGACAGTCCTGCTTTCACAGAGCTCATAGTAGTCTCCAAACATTAGTCATTTTATATCTCTATGGGAAAACCTTGAGCTGAACTACTCTGTTTTCTATGTATATAAATTATGTAATATATTGATATATTATGCACATCAAGTTAAATGATTTGTATACATTACAAAATGGACATACAAAATAAATTAATCCAGATGACATACAAATGTATATAACAAAATAAATTAATTCAGATGACATACAAATGTATATACCTATGTAGAATTTCCAATATTTTCTTTTTCTTTTTTTTTGAGATGGAGTTTCACTCTTGTTGCCCAAGCTGGAGTGCAATGGTGCCACTCGGCCTGCCGAAACCTCTGATTCCTGGGTTCAAGTGATTCTCCTGCCTCAGCCTCCTGAGTAGCTGGAATGACAGGCATGTGCCACCACACCCGACTAATTTTGTGTCTTTAGTAGAGACAGGGTTTTTCCATGTTGGTCAGGCTGCTCTTGAACTTCTGACCTCAGGTGATCTGCCTGCCTCAGCCTCCCAAAGTGCTGGGATTACAGGCATGAGCCACAGCACCTGGCTGAATTTCTAATATTTTCTTCTCACCCTCCAATGGCTTATTTTGCGTAAGTTCTGGGATGCAGCCACCCACTGTAGAGATGACAGATGGGATTAAGGGTGTGATCTAGTGTGAAATTTTCTGGGTTCCAATGTTGGTTCCAGCCCATACTTTTTGTGTGACCTAGGATTTGTTTCTTAAGTTCTCAGAGTCTAAGTTTCTCCATGTGTAAAATGGGTTTTATGATAATACTTTCCTCAGGTTTTAGTGAAGATGGAATGAGGTGATCCATGTAAAGTGCTTAGAAGTCTTCCTGGCATTTGAAAAGAATGCGGTACATGTTATTTATTATTTTGATTATTACAGTCTCTTTGGAGAGAAAACATTAAGCAACTAAGTGTTTAATTTCAACTGTGATGAGGACCATGGAGGACCAGTCTAGGACGCCGGGAGGGTGTATTGGGAAGACTTAACCTAGTCAGTTTTGAGCTGTGTTTTGAGTTCAGGAGGGAGCCAGGGTTAGAGCAGGGGCACATCATTCCCAGCTAAGAAATAGCACCTGCAAAGGCTGAGGCAGGAGAACTTCTTGGAGGAGGACACAAAGGCCCAGTGAGAAGGGAAGAACGCCGCCAGGTCCAACAGGAGAAGCAGGCTGACTGAGACCATGCAGGGCTTTGTGGGCATTGTATCCATCAAGGACCTGTTACCATAACCAAAACCCATTCCCAGTAGTTTCAGCGGGAAAAGGAGTCTATTGGAGGATATGAAGATACTTTCAAAATCACCAGAGGGCCAGAAAGTCAGGCTTGTAGGCCAGGAGGTCAGAACAAGGCCCAAACCAACCACACCCTGGGAGTGAATCAGAAAGGGTCTCTGCAGCTGCCCCCAAGTCTGGAACCCCACAGCACAGCTCATGCCACTGTTGCCCCTAGGAGCTGGACACCACCACTGCCACCCTTTCTAGGAAATGCATTCTGCACCATTGGCTTGCTCATGAGCTCAATTCCAAATGAAGCTGTTTGTGAGAATATCTGACTGGCAGAGCTTGGGTCACATGGTGAGGTCAAGCTGCAAGGGAATCAGGGAAAGTCAGTTTTCTGGCTTCAGCTGTGGGGACGTAAGACCCCTAAGGTGGGAAACTCCCCAAATATGGGAATGATGTCAAGGATTTGGG